TTTCCCAACAACCCTGAACCATACGTTGCCAAAAGTTTCCCATACATTTTACCGTGCTGAATAGCAGCATAAATTTTTAATGAGAAAGTCTGCAAAATTTTCTTCCTTACATCGCAACACTTTCCGCGTGATGGTGAGTAAAATTCACTTGATATTGCGGTTGAGCGTAAGACAATATAAATCATGTTCTCGCACTTTCTTGCATGAAATTTACAAGGTAATATCAACATTGAGGATATTAAGGGAAATTGCATAAATGAATAGATTTGTTTCCATTTAACGTCTCCACGTAAAGCAAATTTACCACCTCATATGAAGCTCTTCTGTAACATATTGACATCATGAGACATTTTGCATAATTTTCATATAACTTAATAAATTCTTCATTGGAATACATGGGGGAGTCATTGAAAATGCGTCCGTATAGTATCTTCAGGTACGATCTAAAACTGATATATTGATTTTGGAAAGCCATTTTAAAATTATTAAATGAAGATATATTGCGATGAGATATAGAAGACGGATTGCAGTGAGTCAATTAAGAAAAATATAACTTTTAATTGAAAAGTTGAAATAATGAATTCAGTTGAAACTTTTTGACAATTTCACATATTCTTTATCTCACAATTTCATTTTATAAAATAACTTTTCCTCTAATTCATTCTTATATATACATACAACGTCGATACCGCCTTCGTATGGCAAAGTTTTCACTCCTTTGAGTAATATTTTTCCGCACTGAGACTCCCTTTCATGTCACTGATATTGCGATGCGAGCGAGTAACGAATAAGTATCTTGTCTTGTATTGCTTGCATGGCGAACATGTTACCGATTGATTGCAGAAAGGTATGTAATTGTAGAGCAATTGAAAGCTCATTGAGAGAAACTTTCCGTTGCAAAGTTACAGAATGGCAAAAGAAACATAAAATATACTTCACATGAGAGGATAAATATACATACAAGTACACATATTTAGGAGGATTGTATATTTCTCCACTGCTCAAGTTGAAACTTACTTGGTGGCTGTTCACAATAGTCGACAAATCAATTTGTCTGACAGAGAAATCAGTAAAGCGAAATGTCTCACAGAAAGGAAATTTCTTCTTCCATCCTAACAGAATGCTCCTCTGCACATAGTTTACTTTCAAGCAGAAAAGTTGGACAATACTATTTCAATTTATTGCTGTGTGGTCTGAACTAAACCATCAATCTATTGTACACTCTCGGTAATCTTTTCCTAGTATTAAACGGATATCGATTCCTAAATGTCCCTAACAACCTGCAATCATTCACCGTTTGACTTCAAAATTGGTCAGTTGCAAAGTTCTTGGCCACCAATATTTACAATTCGCATTAATACACATTCACCGTGTGTATATAACGAGTGCTTTCTCGTTAGGTGGAAAATCATAGATACATTGAGAGTTGGTGTGTACAATTTGCATTCTCTTCATCTGAATTAATTAAAACCCATTTCAAATATAATTGAACCGCATTTTATATTTCCGTTCATTTTCATTTATTTTACGTTCTTACTTTTCCATGACGCAATTCCATTTAGATTTTTCCACTGAATCCGCGTATTTTGATCAAATGTATGAATGTGTAATGAGGGCAACAGTGAAAATGCTGTGCAAAAGTTCGCAGAAAATTTTAGAGTAGTTGTGTTTATGATCCAGGTTTGAAATTACATATGTAGTTACGTTCGGGAATAGAAGCCACGGATGAACATAACTATCTCTGCAACATAATACTTTCTGCATAGGATGGTGTTATGAAATTTTAATAGATTGTCACCCAGCGAGACGGTAAATAAAATAGCTTGCCATAAAGAGCTCATAACTGAGGTGATTTGTAGAAAAGGGGACAAGTCTCCGAGGACAGAGGTATACTTCATAGTTATTGTTTACAGCAGAGCCACGCAGTTTGCTTTCCGAGGAACATGTTTTGCATTGCAACTCCGCCCAGATAACCATCCCTCTCGCCCTCAGAAATATGTACAAGCCGAGAGCGACAACCTGTACTTCCGACCATCCAAACTAACATCCAAGCCAGCACACAAGATGATAAGATATTCCCATTGCTATTTATCAAATAAACATAAAAGGGCTTCATATTCTACTAACCCGAAAATATATTTTTGTTTACTCTCGTGATATTTCATCCATCTTTTGCAATATTTCTTCATATTCACCCCATATGGTTGCGATGGAGAGAAAATTTCCGACACTGCCTTTTGCTGGAAAATGAGATTGGAAAATTCTTGCATAGAAACCTCTCAAGAAAAACATTATGTGTGCCTCTTCCCTACAAAATTGCTTCAAGGAAGTTACCCCGAAAATCCCATATCACATACAGGAGAGACTTATGAAGAAAGAGTGCCGCAATATATCCAAATTATTCACTCATGCATTCGGATACGTTCTGCAGAAAGGAATGCATATGAATGTGTTATTTTCATAAATGGCGATGACTGATGGAAATGCTCATTGCATGAAGTTTTATATGAATTTTTATGAAATTTTTATCAATGAAAATGTCGCAAAATTTGCAATATTCAGCATAATCACAACTGCAGTTTGCATGTTCCTGACAAAGACTGTAATATTATAGTTATTATTGAGTGTAGAGTAAGATTAAATTCCACTTTTACGTCTTTGATCTAATCCTAATGAACCATTAATTGAACTACTGTAAATATGTACCAATCGTAATTCAATACACACACTCTATCGTCCACTCTTGCCCGCATATTGCCTGAAATAATGTTGTATTTGTATCTCACAAATGAGTATACATTGAGTGAGTTACATGACAATGCAATTTCATCTCTAACAAGAAGAACTTTAATTAATGCAGTGAGAGAGGTTACAAATTCTGGGTCAGTGTTTAATGCTTTGCACATTAAATTAAACAAATACGTATTTCCCTGTACAATCGCATTTCCTCCCCCAACCATTATATTATCCATAAATGTGGTAACATTGGGATATTTGAATTATTCTAACATGGAAACCGCACTACCTGTTTCGAGATTTTACCATGTTTAAGCAATTCGACCAAATGTGATATGAGACTTTTATGTTCTACTGACCTATAAAATGTGGCCTAATGTTGATTTGTGGTCCGTTTCTGTGGCATCAGTTTAACAACATGGACAAGCCATTGCGTCCTTTTATGACTCTGAGTCTTGAGAGATTGCAAAATACTTCTTCAATTGCCAGTTTATGTAACCAAAGAGGAAGTTAATGTTCCAACTTGATTCAAGATTAAATCGCTGGGCTCACAGAATGAGAAATTCATGCTAGCATTAACCCCCATATCAGCCCGTAAAGTGGTTATGGAATTTTATAAGTTATCTGACAAAGTCCTCGTTTGCATTTCACGCAGACAAAGCGCATGTCGGCGAATAATTAATAGGGATTATGAAATGCATGGATATTATTCTCTCATCATGAATGCAGATAACATAGTATATGGCACGTTTCCTCCATATCCAAACGTGCACTCATTCAATAGGTGAGGCTGGAATATGACATTTCTTACCCAGAATATCCTTAACTTAAAAGCGATCAATTTATATTGATAAGGCGAGCATTTCTACAACAGTCTATGTAGCAAGAGTAATTTCAGTTAGCTTTCATACAGAAACAAACTCGATATAATACCCAATTCACGTATGAATTTCGGATTTGCAATATTATTTCTATCAATTTTCTTCCTATTCGCAACTTTCCGAAGTTTTCCTTATGAGAATCCGCCACAAAAGCACGTGAACGCTTTTTCTATGAGCAAGTTGAGTGAAGCTGAAGAACTTCCAAAGTGTTTTCATAGCTATATGCAGAGATATTGTACGTATCTATGTATAGGGATACTTTATCTCATATATGTGATACCATAATAAAAATACTCACTCCTAGCGAGGTGTAGAATAAAGGGGTCTGTTAAATGTGAATATTACATGAACACATTGTGTATGTATGAAGACTCGTGCTGAGAAAGTTAGTGAGAGATTTCATTTTGTTCATACCGAAAATTAACCTAATTTGTTTGTGAGTATCTCAAGGATAAGGCGAAAGCATAATATTATTTGCGTTAGTAATCAAACCACGGAAGAAGGTGCCAAGCATCCTCACGTTACATCTGCAGAGCAAAACTTTCACCAAAACTGTATCAAATGCATTTAACCAATGTTATATGTATATCATTTGTACGTGCGAAGCTTTTACACGAATTTCCTAATTGGTTGTAATTATTTCTATATTTGTTTCATAATATATTTCGCAAAATATGAATTATAACATTTCTTGCTGGAAGATTCTTTATAATTCACTATGTATAAACAATTCGTTCATCTCTAGTTCCCTCTACTTTAAATATTGTAGTTTAATACTTTTCCAATTTCAAGTGCAATTAGTCACAAAGTCTTTAACAGCAAATGTCATGTGCAGATATTAAAACCAAAACTAATTTCCACATAATCCAGTGAATTTAGAATGTAGTATTTAAACCCTTGCTATGCAATTACTGGGCTTTTGTTATACTTGCGCCTTTGTTTAATATTGAGCACGAGAGAGGATGCCAAGAAAGTTTCTTCATTCCCGTGAAAGTTAGCATCAATTTCAATACACTACATGTGAGTCTTCTGTGTACAAAATCAATAAATTAGGATCAATTATGAGTGGACGTGTGTGTGCAAAAAGAGCAACACTAAGTTATTCGTAAGTGGATGGACTCACATGGTATCAATCATTCTATCAGTTTCACTGCAAATAGGCGAGTCTGGAGGAGACAAGCTAATAGAGGGCACATGTTTTTAGCCATGCTCTACCAAACTCTCCCTCTAATTGGCTTTCTCGTGGTCGTAAGGAGGTGTTCTTGAATTTTTCACGAAAACTATACTCTCGGTTTAAAAGTGGCCAAGTACTCAAGGGGCCCTCAGGGACAGGACAGGGGGCGATATGCGGATGGGAAAGTTGGAAAAGAGTGCAGAACTCACCACTGACAGGCAGCGTGGGCACACAGTCCATACGAATGTCCGCTACTGCACCGGAGATGGCTTGACTCACATACACGAAGCAGTATTCCACATATTTTTCGGAGAACAGGTCGCAATCGAAATGCAGGGAATGCTGTCCACGGACGACACGTTGCTCCGTGACGTAGTGCAGGGATGTCGGTGGCGCCAATGAGGCAACATCTGCACGCAATTTAGCAAATAAACGGACACGATCCGCCTGATCAAGGATGCATGCCGGATACTCAAACAGCACACCAATGCCACCAGTCATTGGATCGCATGGGAATATGCTGCGGGCGTGAACGTTGAACACAAATTGGTCGCTCCAATCAGCCTGTGAATCAAAGGCATGGCGTTAATGCAATATCTCCCTTTCTAGATTAGAGATGGAAAAGCCCCACGGGGAAAAATGCAATTTCTCCACCACGACGGCATTTCCGCTCTAAAATCCCCTCTTCCCCCCCCCATTCTACATACACACCCAGGAAGCCATTCGCTCTCTTTTTCTTGCCTTCCCACATTTTCCACCCGAGGCCTCTGCCAGGCCAACAGTTGGGAGTGCACTGAGAAAATGCTCCACCGCGATTCATCCCAATTCCGTGGCGATGTTTCAACCCTTTCGGGGCTGTACATGGGCTAATTTAATTTCTTACTACGAGGCCTAAAAGGACTGCTAATAGGAGCATTTGGTGGTAAATTATTTCTTCACCCAAGCAGAAGGATTGTCTCCGGCAATGTACTTTTGGCTGTTATTCTTAATTTTCACATTAACAGAAAGGATTGTTTCAAAATAAGTCATGCCCTGAGAAATTGGATAATTATGAAAATTAGACGCTTTTATTCTATTTGAGAAAAGCCAAAAAAGAAAACTTGAATCCTTAATGGCTTGAAAGACACTGAATAGCTTCAACCCCTAATTTACTTCTACATTATTAGTAAAATGGAGGGAAAGGACATTTACAATTTCTTTCTGTGCATTTCATGATGGCTAATAAGAAATCTTATCGGAAGACAATTACTGGGATATACCTTTATAAATGCTGATGCTGACACGATGTTGGGCGTGGGTGAGGTTGGGCGTAATTTGAGCACATAGTGTCCGGCAAGACCAAATAATTCACATCGCAGCTTAACGATTCGAGTCCGTGGGAAACCCCTAACTTGTTCAGCATATAAAATCTGCGACTTGGTTACATTCATACTGTCACAATAAATCTCATGGCCGCAGTAGTTGAGCTCAAGCCAGAACTCGGGCACATCCAGTGAATCTGTGTTTGGGAAGCTACACTCAACACTTGGAAACTCCAAGATAGCATCCACCGGCTCCTGCGGGTACGTTCCAATCGATTCCGGTGTTACACTTAATTTCGCCATGGGCCATCTCACATCCAGCTGCTGCCTAAGATGCTCCCTCGGCGGACTGTCTCGGCCCTGCTGGGCGGGCGATTCGCCGCCCACTACCTCGAACTCGTACAGTCCGCCACGGAGGAAGTATTGGCAGGGAACGGTGATCTGGGTGACATTGGAGACGGGGTCTGGGTAGATATCGATAGTGCTAACTGTCGTGCGAGTTGAATCCTCTATGCGCGTGATGTGCAGCCGATGATCCTGAGTCCTGTGGCCAGAATCGTCCAGCTGGACATTTTGCAGCTGAACGCGTAAATCGCCCTCCAGCGCAGTATATGTCACTGGCACCAGTAATCGGCCTCGCTTTAGGGCATTCACCATGTCTGTAATTGGCAAACAAATACCATTAATTTTTTCACTATCATTTACAGGCCAAAAAGGATAAATCAATACGCCGCGGACAATGCCGAGAAGTGAGACCGCCTCTCGGGTGGGAGATTAAAATTCTCACCATGGAACAAAGAGAGGCCACAACATATGCCAAACTCACACCCCGCAAAACTTCCCTGAAAGCTCTGAAAATTACTCCAAAGTATGACACCAAAAGTTACTCTTTATTTTTGGCAAACATGCCCCCACGTGGATTTGTTACTTATGTAAGTGCAGACATGTTCTTTGTGTATACACTTCCTAGCTATGCCTCCTCTCGGTCGATTCTATTCGAAATTATGTACACACGAAGTGGATGCAAAAGTGAACATCAGTTGTGCATTAAAGTTCAACGGCTGAGTTGAAAGTAGTTTTTACCATTTTTGCCTCAATGATGCCGAATAGAGTGGAATTCACAAGTCTTCTGCTACAGTCAGTCAGACAACGAGGAAGATCTGAACTGTCCAAGTTAAATTTTCAATCTTCTTCATGCGATAAGTAGAGACCATTTAACCGTTTACTATTAGACTTTAGAATAGATTCAGGTGCAAAGTTTGCAGCGCAAATGACAGTTACATTTTATTTGAAAGAACTTGAACCGCTTTTAAGAGGCACAAAAGGCATAATTGAAGTATCTTTCAACACAGAAGGCATTTGAATTAATGCATCATACCGTTTTATCCATAATTTCATTACCGTAAATCTCATTATAGCTTTTTTGCTCGCTCGCTCAACCCACAGTTTTCACATAAAATATCATGTCATACTGGCAACAAAAATAAATCCTATTAGCATCCCTTTGTCATTTTCATGTTTTTAATTACCGTCGCAGAATTTCATTCAAATAGACAGTAATTAGTAAAATATTAATTTTCCTATTATTAAAACAAATTGAACTCTGTCCTTTTGTAAACCCTATCGTATTAAAAAGTCAACGTCAATTTGTGAACACGTTTGGAATAATTTGCTAAATTCTTTGCCACTTTCTCAATGGAGATTTCATAAATGCAACAATAATAAAGTACTTCCTTCTCAACTGTTAGGAACTTCTCTGTGTATTTCTCATATTTCTTTTCCTTGAAAAGATGAATTGTTGTTTGTCAATGAGTTGTTGTTTTTATTCTTGTAAAAGTTGCTTTACGCATTTTAATGATGAACTTTTTTCCAGGAAGCAGCAAATTGGCTTTGATGCAATTTTTGCTCTTTCTCCATTTCACTATATACTTTGTCAATAGAATATTTTTCACTGATTGAAAATTTGCATAGGAAATTCATACGGTTTTTGCACACTGTTTGCTTTCAACATAGTCTGCATTTGATTTTATATGTTTAAATAAGAATAATTGAAAAATTGGATGAATATTTTTTTTTTACATTTAACACAACTTTCGCGGATTGGTTAGTGAGACAATTTTTATTATCCTTCAAAATTTAATTAATATTTTCATCCGATAAGTGATTTTAATAAGGCAGCTCTTTTAGAACAAAGCTTTTGGAAATGTATCCAATGCGAAATATGCTTGCAGTGCAAGAGATATGCGAAACGTCACTGATTGTGTTATTTAAGTAGTTTATTAAATATACATTACACATCAAAACTCCCATTTAATGGGAATGAAGAGCTTAATGAGTAAACAGAAGCATTATTGTACCAAAGTATATTTCTTCAATGCCCAGAATGACTCTATACCGAATAAATGCTCTCTGTCTATATACAATTCCAATGTCATTTACATAAAACATTCATACATAATAAAGTGTCTGAAATATTCCATTTGCATCTTTTGCCTCACTCTAGCTTACCAAAAAGCGCTGCTGAGTTGACTTTTGTGTTAATTGAATTTAATGCTATTTCACATTACGAAGCAATAGAGACAGTTTAGGTGCGGTTATCGGGAGATGAAGAAGTTACGCATTGAGTTGATTAGGATATTAAGGCAAAATTGTCATTTGTCATATCTTTTCATTGTCTTTTTCTACATTTCCAGCCTTTGCCCACAGTGTTCTTCACTTCTCCTAAATCTCATCTTATGTTATATAAATTGTGTTGTGACAGGGGAATTGTTGGGCACCTTTTTAGTATTTGATCTGGTATTCAATCTACGCTTTAATATCCTCTATTCTACCATGATTCAAGTGTTTTCCTCTCGGTTATATCGATGGAAACGTAAATATGTCTCTTAGCATTTCCCATTGAAGGTTTACGTGAAAATGATCTTATTTTATAAACTTATTGCCATTGTTAGCACACCTGACAAAAGGCATAATCTCTCTGCTTCTCAAAATTGCGCTTGCACAGCACAAAAGGGTGTTCGGCGGGAAAGTATTGCCGAAGTGCTTTCGAGAAGGTGTTACTTTTCACAGTTGCGTCACTGAGATTCGACAAAATTGGTAATTGGCCCGATTCTGCCTCATATTCTCCCCATTCTTTTTGCCCTCCATGGAGTATAAGGTGAAGTAATCAAATCACCAATTTGGTGAAATTTAATTCAAGTCACGATTTTCCAAAACAAATACATAATTTTCATTTAGTGCTCTTCGGCCTCGTCTTGAATTTCGCTGTGTATGAAATGTCTACCCCCTCAGGGCGCATCGAAGAAGAAATATCACAGAACGCCCCGTTCGAGATGTTCTACAATGGCAATCACCGATAAGGTGTGAATAATTAAATTTTATGTATTGATTGTATTTGTACTATTGTCTGTGTGTGTGTGTGTGTTTGTGTGTGAAACTGAGTGTGGAACTGTGAAGCAAGTTGGTAAACATGTTGCATCATTCATATATACACGTTTGCATGAATTGTATCAATTAGATGATGCGGTGATGTTATATGAAGCTGATATTTTATCAAATGGTAATGTTGTACGCCCTCGGGATATAAGCACTCCTCCAAATGTACATCAGTTGTGGTATTGTGTAGTTTGCAGCAAGTAAGGAACAAGGAACCTTCACACAATCTTGTTTGCCTACATCAGTTAATATCAGTTCATTATAGCCTCTTGAATGATGCATCAAATCTAAAGAACTTTGAAATGTGAAAGTTACGTGAAAAATTCTGTTCAAAACAATTAGTAAAATTACAGATCTTGACTGCTTGATAATATTTTCTTACAAATCATTTATTGTGGACAAGATGAATGCATAACAAGTATAATCTACCAGTGCCTAATTCTTATCAGTATTACTCTATATACAAACTATTGTTGTATGGCAATGCATCCAGGAAATAGTCTTATGACAGAGGAATTTCTGGAATTCATGTGATTTCCCAGCAATTAATTCAGTTCCTTCCGAGTAAATTCGTTCTTTGACACACGACATTGTAGAGTATGAAAGTTATCCAACAATTTATTAAGATTGATTCATTGGAGCGTAAAAAGTATTCATAATAAATACTTTCAGGCATTCAGTATCTACAACTTAAATTTCCTTGAAATTCCTTACATGTTCTTGCCGTATACATTCAAAAGGAGAGAGGCGAGTCCTTTAAATTTGATAGCTCTTGCGGATACAGATATTCTGTTCTCCTCTTACCATAACACACAATACTGAAAGCATATTAGTGAAATGAAATTGAGATATCGTGCTGAAAGCAATAGGTTCAGTCAGACATCCTCTCCGGCACTCTACAAATTCCACCTCCATGTAAAGCATTTCTCATATCATTTCAATAGGTTTCGGCACTTTTTCATTCAAGTCAAGGAGATAGAAAAACCACCCACAAACTCCCATTTAAATACTATACATGTTGTCTGAGAAAAAATTCCATCCTCCAATCCGGCATCTCTCCTCGCATCGCATTCTCGAAATTTCAACCCAATACACCCTTAGACTTTTATGCCTATCAACAATGCCAATGTATCTCTTGGACGGAATTCCTTATCTTCAAGGGGTTCTTCCGTCCCTGATGCCCTATAAGAAAAAGGCGCACAGCGGAGGGAGAAAATGCAGTAATGGAATAGAAAGGATAATATTTTTATTAAAAAGAAGCCCTGAGTGAGGAGAGAATGGAATTTCCTCCGACATCCGAGAATGCAACAGTTTGGCTCAATGGAATTACAGAACATGGCATCGTACTTGGCTTTTTCCGAGCAACTCCCATAAAAATAGTGGCGGCGTGTCGTACCCACAGCCGGGCTAGAGATATCGTGAAAGCAATTTCTCAGGATTTGTCGGGTTTGTTTTACATACTGTTATTACGCGCTATGCACTGAAATATTACACCAATGAAAATAAGCGAATGAGTTGAGCATCAATTGAATTTGCTGGTCAAGTTGGATTATATATGAACTTCCAAGTTCCCCATAAATTGAAGCATTATTACATTTATGCTCTGATACTAATAAAGCAGAAAGTTATGCATTTTTTGAAGTTCTGCAGGATCTACTGCCTTCCATGATATTAAAACCATTATTTGTAATCATCAGTTCCGAATGATTCCAGATGATAAAGTATTCTCGCGCTTTGAGCGTAAAATCAATCAATCTTTGCACTGTATTTCTCTGACAATTTCCTTTATCTTGTAAAATGTAAGACGCTTTGATCTCCGTATTCTCATCGCTGATAACTCTCTTCAAGTCTTCCTTGCAAAACATTAAGCATGGAAATCTGTTGGATGTGAAAGCCAAGGACAAAGCATTGTTAATGTTGTGCACAAATAACCTTCCTGGAAGCAAACAAAATAAACTGCCTTTGCGAGAGACATAACGAAGACATTGTGTTGGGGTGGTACTTTGTGCTGATGAAGCGCATAAATTTCTATGCCACTGTGCATGACCATAAATAGAGAAAATATAACCCAAATATCGTGGCTCATGGCCTCAAACTCCATATTTTTCTTACGATTTCCCTCCTCTCGCTGTCAGTTCTTGGAGATAAAATGACAACATAGTTTCACTATGCGATTGCATTCATGTCGTATCCCACATTAGAGATTGTCAAAAGAAATATTTCT